CCCAGACTGGACGCATCCAGCATCGCACAGCTCGTCAAGGATTTTCGCACTAACTACCCTGGCGAACACCTTGACAGCGACGCTATGCCCAGCGTGCGCTTGCTTAGCATAATCCATCGCTGGTTTTCCCCCGGGAACACCATTAGCTGGGTGCCCTGGCAACTCCGACTTTCGGAAAAGCAATATCAAGAGCTCATAGAGAGCAAAGCATCGCGCACTATCCGCACCGAAGCAGCCTTCCTCAGCACTGCACTGTTTGATGACACACCGGAAATGCCGGTTGATCATCTCAGGCTTAGCGCCGCATGGCTTGGCAGAGTTCAAACAGTATTCCGCAACGCCATAGCACTGTGCAAAGGAGCGCACCTGCAGCGCCTTAAGGCATATGACAAAAAGATTCTTGATCTGGCGACGCAATCGCCAAGCGACGCATCGCTCCGCACAGTCACCACGCAAGAGCTTGTCGCGGCTGACCGCAAACTGTGGCGCGAAATCTCGCTTCTGCACAGCGCCGGTTGGACATTGGATGACGCCTTGCATGAAATGACAAGCATCCGCTCGGATATTGGCAACCTCCTCCAGCTACGCGCCCGGCCGCCTCCCCCCCCGCAAAAGCCACCGCCTCGCCTACCGAACAAAGGCAACGGCAAAGGCAAAAGCAAGGAGAAAGGGGGCAAAGGCAAGCAAGGCACACAGCCAGGCAAGAGGCGCACTCCCGGCGAGGGCACAGCACAGGAGGTCAAAACAGCGGACCTCGTGCAACAGCACGGCAACAAGACCTTCTGTATTCGGTACAATAAAGGGCACTGCAAGAACGCGCAGTGCAAATATCTTCACGCATGCGCATACAAAATGCCCAACGGTGAGCCTTGCGGCAAAAGTCATCCCGCCTGTCAGCACCGCAACCCCCAGGAGCCGCCCAGCTCCTGAAAACCGCAGCTGGAACTGGCCGGGCAGGCCCAGTTGCCCTTGCCTACTCTCCCGGCTGCACAGATTTCAGCCGCCACGCCTGGCACACCCACAGCACCGGCACACGCATCCGCGGCACCGTCAGGACAGCATTGCCCAAAAACACTGCAACCTGAAGCAACTCCTTGTACGCATAGTCCAGCACAAATGCAAGAAGACAGCCTCACGCACAGCTCCGCATCCAGCTCATCAGAAGCAGAAGATGCCGAGCCTAAGACATCCAAGCACAGATTTTTGCTGCACAGCATAGCGGAGGACCCTTTCAGCTGTGACCGCTTCTGCTACCAGGCCATGGCACAGCATAACACTATAGAAGATGAACTTTACTCTGCCTGGCATAGCCTAGTCTGGTCCGGAGCGGTCGGAGCCACACTGCTCCTTTTTCCTGCACAATCGTTTGATTTGGCATCGCACACCCGACTCTGTGCGCTTCTTCGGGCAGCGCACCTTCAAGGCAGTCAAGTCTTTTTCGAGTACCCCAGGCACTGCGATGACAAGATTGCAGATCTGTACACACAGCTGTGCCAAGAGTTAGCAGTGCACTGCATACAAATGAAGCTGCCCCAGAGCAACGCCTCGCATATCATTTGCTCCACGCATACAGCACTGGCAGGCGCAACACAGCAAGCTGATCCATACCAGCACATGCTCTCTCTTGCAGCGCAGGAATGCACATCGCACCTCAATGCCCCTATCCAGCCAGCAACGCTGCAAAAGCACTTGCCGCGCTGCTTTCTGCCACGCAGGCCCGCGGTTTGCGATGGAGCAGGCATGTTCAGCACGGCAGATCACTCTGCCAATAATGTAAGCAGTAAGCCCAAGCCCCTAGCAAAGCTAGCCTCCGCCTTTAAGCAATACCTTACTAAACACGGCCTCGTTTCGCATATTTCTAAGCATCTACAGTCCGGGCAAGACTCGCACCCGCTTAGCGAAGATCATCGCAACGCTTTGGCAGACATTGTGCATCAGACCATGGCACCTAGCATCGACAAAAATCAGTTTCTCCGAATCTCGGCCGGGCAGCCCTTCCGTCTCACAGCACTGCAATACCTGGCACAAGCCATTCATGATAAAGATGCACAGCTACCCATCATCCTTGATGAGGGAGTACCGACAGGTGCTTTTGGAGCTCTGCCAAGCAGCGGGCAGTGGCCCACAACGCAAAGCTCCTTAGACTTTGCAGACGATTTTAGCCCTGCATCCCTCGAGCACTGCAGGGGAAATTGGTTCCTAGCGGAAAGCAACCCCGCACTGCTGCAAGAGCTAGTGGAGGAAGAGGTGCGCAAAGGCTTTGTCGCAAAGTTTGAAGGCACCGAAGAAGACGCAAAGCGCCGCTGGCCGCAGGGCACTGCAATCGGCAAACTAAACATTGTCATGGCCGAAGGACGCGACCCACGCCTGGTCCTTGACAGCACCGTGTGCGGACTTAATCCGGCCGTGCATCTTCCAGAACGGGTGTCACTGCCTAACGCCTCGGACGTGCAGCGCACATTTTTGTCAGATGACTGCTATGCACAGCTTCACGCACTGTCGCTAGACTTTAAGGCAGCGCATAAATGTTGCAAAGTCAGCCCCGCAGACCAAGGCACCTTGCTGTTCAGAGTTGGCAATTCCCTGTACTACTACAAGGTTTGCCACTTCGGGGCACGCTTCTCGGCATATTGGTGGCAACGCACAGGTAGCCTTCTACTGCGCTGCATACATGCGCTGCTTTGTGACTATCCGCATAGAGCCTGGCTTTATGTCGACGACCTCCTTGCCCTGCTCCGCACAGCCGACAAAGACATGGCCACCGCACTGATAGTTGCACTGCTTTCAGCCCTGAACGCACCCATCAGCTGGAAGAAGGCTCAGTTTGCGCAGGAAGTTACCTGGTGCGGGTGGACCATTCGCACGGACGCAGAGACCATTGAGCTCCGCGAACTAAAATTGCACAAGCTCCGCGAGCAGCTGATTGCACTGCAACGCAAAAGCAAAGTGCAACGCAAAGAGCTGGAGGGTGTACTAGGCCTACTTAATTGGGCCACCTCCCTAAGTAAACATATGCGCCCCTTCATGGCACCGCTCTACAAAGACTTACACAGCTGCAAAGGCACGCTGCACAGCATTTCACCTAACATGTGGGGCACCTTCCTAGACTGCCTTGACAACAACGCAAAGCTCACCCGCACGCCAGCAGGCTCTTGGCTGCCACGCAATGCCCAACTACTTGAGGTCGGCAGCCTCAAAATAGCAAGCAAAGCAGATGTGCCCCTTGTGCCGCCCTCGCACAAACACCAATGGCTGAGGCTCGCAGACCCGCACCGCTCTGAAGTTCACCTTCGGCACGAAAGCAAATTCGTTCTGTCATGGCTGCAGCATTGTTTTGCGCATGAGCAGCCTCGCTCGCTGCGCACAGCACCACGCATGCACTGCTACAGTGCGGCGGATGCATTCGCAGATACGCACCGCATGGGCATTGGAGGATGGATCAGCACTGCCGACGCCTTCCTATGGTTCAGCGCCATTTTTTCTGCAGAGGAAGTGCGCAAGCAATGGCCGCAACTGCAAGGCAGTCTGCAGCCTTACATTGGCTGCTTTGAATCTCTCGCACAGCTGGCACTGGCACAGTGCTCTTGGCAACTGCTACGCAGCAAACAGATCCGCTTTGTTCTGCCCACAGCATCCGACAACACCAGCGCAGAGTCTGGCCTTAATAAGCTCTTCAGCACGGCAGAGCCTCTAGGGACTTTCCTTCGCCTGGCGGCCACCTGGGCGCATCTGCACCGCGTGCAGTTTGAGGTGGAGCACCTCGCCGGCGAAAAGAACGTTTGGGCAGACAAGCTCAGCAGGGGCTCCACTGCCTTTCTTCAGCATCGCACTGCTGACAAAGTAGAAGTCACGCTAGCGCAACTAGCATCCGCATCGCATTGCGTCACATTACATGATCACGCACTTGCGTGGCCGCAACGGCTACTTGACGCCCAGCACGCAATGCTTAAATGATGTTTCAAAAAAGAGTGGAGTGACGCCTCTCTCTCTCTCTCTCTCTCTCTCTTCTGGTGAGCACAGCTTTGCTTTCCACGCTCTGCATGTCTCACGCCCTGCCTCGCCAGGTACATTCACCAACTCGCGCGGTGAGGGGCTTTTATAGCAGAGGTTGTCGAAGTGCACCTAAAGTGGGGGTCTGCTCGGCATCGCTTGCCGCTTTTCCTTGCGAGCAATGCCTCGCGCTGCACTGCACTCTCGAGCAACCTCTGCGGAAAAATAGAGCGTATGCAGTTCGCACTGCATTGAGCGTTGAGAACAGTTAGGAGAACGCTAGTTGTGAGTTTGTGTTTTTGATTCAACTGTGTTTTCTTATCTGTGTCGAAACCTTTATAACGCTCCGCATTGTTTCGGCACAAGCACTCACAACTAGTGTTCGCTTTTCTCGCATCGCATGCGTAAGAAATTTTTTCACCCACCCTCCACGCCCTTGGGGGTCTGCTCGGCATCGCTTGCCGCTTTTCCTTGCGAGCAATGCCTCGCGCTGCACTGCACTCTCGAGCAACCTCTGCGGAAAAATAGAGCGTATGCAGTTCGCACTGCATTGAGCGTTGAGAACAGTTAGGAGAACGATTGCAGTTCCACTCTTGGATGTTTGCAGGTGCCAGAGTTGAGGGCGAGGCTGAAGGAGCTCGGCCTTGCATGCAAGGGAAACAAGCCGGCTCTTGTGGAAAGACTCCGAAACCAACTCTGTGCATCACCGGAACAGCCTGCAAAATCTCCCGCAGCACGTCCGGAAAAGCCTGCAAAGCTTGCAAGACTTCCTGCAAAGGCGACAGGTGTTGCCTTTCACCCGTAAACTCCTAAACGATAAGCTACACCCGTACACCCTACAGCCTTCTACAAACTCAAATCCTGAACCTTAAACCCTAAAGGAGAGTGTCAACCCTAAGGGGCAAGACGTCCCTGATGATGACGATGACGTGGACGATGGCGATTCGCCGACCTATGTGTCGCCGAGAGAGGAGGGTATTCACGAAGTGGCAAACAGTATGCCGCCCCACATGAAGGCCGAGGCCAAGGGCTGCGAACTCTTTGATGCGCACCGGGAGTTTCTCATGGAGAAGCGGGGTGGCAAGCGAAAGAGAGGTTCCAAGACACATGAGCCTGCTGTCCGGCAGGATCCGGAATGGCGACAGTCGCTCCAAGCCAGCATGAGTATCCCAAAGAAAGCTTTCGATCGACTCATCAATGACGTTTTCCACGACTTGCAAAAGACCATGGACGATGAGATGGAAAACGCATCCAAAATGGGATGCGGTTCAGGTGATGGTGACATCCCCCTCATGGTGACCTGAAGATTTCCAAAGATCCTGGGATTTGGGCCCAAACCGCATCCGAGGAATTCGTGGCATCCGTGTTTTCGGATTGCACCGTTTTGCGGAAGCGTGCGAAACGATCGGAGACAGTGTACAAGGCGGATGTTCAGCTTCTCATGGGAATCCGATCTGGCCGGTTGTTCGAGCAGGCGGCGGAGGATGCGGAGCAAGCCTACCGGAGTGATCGTGCAGAGCAGCGGAAGATCAAAGAAAGCAAGCGTCGCAACAAACGAGCTGGACCGGATCCCGAGGCTAGTTTCCAAAACCATAACATCCAAAAGTCCGAAGCACCAAAATTCTAAAATCCGAAGCACCAAAACCCGAAAATCCAAAAATCAGAAGCACCAAAACCCCAAAATCAAAAAAATCCGAAGCACCAAAACCCTGAAATCAAAAAATCCGAAGCACCAAAACCCTAAAATCAAAAAAGTCGGATCTCGCAGGCCCGCGATGTCGAAGATGCTGCTGTGCAGAAAGCTAGAGCCGCGCGAAAGCGCCGGATGGAGAAGCTCAAGAAGTGGCTTTTTCTTTGTTTCTTTGGCTGTTCCTTTTCAGAACAGATGTGGGAACTAGAGCCAGGTTCAAAAAGTGACGTGGGACGTCACTCAACTTTCGAGACACAGCAGTGTGACGAAAAGAGGGGGGCTACTCCTGAGCCTCAGAGCTGAAGCGGGTTGTTAAGCACAACAAACATGGGCCCGCAGATGCCCATAGAGGCCTATAGGCTTCCCAGGACTGTTCCACGACAGTGTTACTTGAAGAGATTCTTGTCCCGGTTCCTTTGAAGCCGAAGCGTGGTTCCTATTTGTTGTTTCTTTGCATGGTTCGTGCCCCCCCTCTCGAAAAGGTTTGAATTGCAGACTTGTCATGTCTCGTGCAAAGGACTTCTTTTGCGTGCTACCGTCCACCTTGAAGCTTCCTTCGAGTTTTTAAGCCCTCAAACCTTCTTCGCTTCTTCCTTCGAAACTCTTCGAAGTTTTTCGAATTGGGCTGCAATCTCGGCATATGCTCACGCGATTCAGCAAATCGTCATTAGAAGACTGCTAGAAGTGATGCAAAATGATAAAAAAGCTAACATCTGAAGGACTTGTTGTGGAGAGCTTTGCAATGGCCTCAGTTTAAACGCCGCAGCTGGGATGTTGTAATATTCAAAGTTGGCGAAAAACTCTTATGCAATGCACAGACTTCGTTGAGCACGGACGTGTTTTTTCCACTACAAGCCAAAATTCTGCGGTCGGGTTTGATCGTTCACGGACATTGGGCACCGGCTCAAAAAACTGCATTCCACCAAGACGGAGACCTAATCTAGCTGCTATTTTGTTTGAACAGCTCAAAGTCCACTGCCAGATCGGTGGGACACGCTTCTTTATGGTTCACTGGCACAATTGATTCCTTGGCTATTTCTTGGCTGATGTGGATTCCACAGACTGGTCATACGATTAGTTTTTTTTGGTTTCGTGGTTGGTCCATGCCACGGGGAAAGAATTGAGTGAATGGTCCATGCATACGCGCAAAACGCTAAGTTGTCTAAGTTTCTGTTCAATGGCTCAGCCGAAAATGACTGGATGATTGTGTTTCGTGTCTTGGTGCAGCAGCCAAAGGATACTATTGCATGGCCAATATCCTGGTTTCAAGCTGTTCGCAAGATCAAGCAAGGCTTCAATGAATGTGCAAAGGGCGGTGTGTCTTCAGAAACTTTCTAGTCCAGAGGAAAACATGGTTGTGAGGCGGAAAACGTTAACGCCCGTCACGCCAGCTTCGGGTGGCATTCATGTTCATGTGTTCAAATTTCTCGCAATCAAACGGCATTCAAGGCTTCGCCCCAAAACCTCAGGCAAAGCATCTCACTGGCCGGTCGTACAAAACAGCAGTTTGTGTTGTCAGGTTGCTAGCTACGCTTGCAAATCGCCAAGCAAGCATGGAAACTTTGTAGCAGCACGTGAGGACACATGCCACTCGACCATGTCGACACTTTTCTTTGTTTTCCGTTGTGACACACGTCGTTAAAAAGAAGATGCTTTCGCGAATGCATATGTTTTTTATCTTTTGGATCCATACCTTCTTCCTGTTTGTGCTGCAGTACTTCGAGCCATCATGTCACAGATCTGAAAAATACGTTGCGGGTAATTATTGTTGGTATAGTATGGGACGACAAATTCAGAGCAGTAAAAATGCCTGTTTGTTTTTTGTATTTGTGTGTTTTGCGTGCGATGGTTCTCTTGCGTCGTCAGAATGTCAAGTATGTGGACTACGACAGTGCCTATACAGCGTTGCGCCAGCAGCTTGGAGCGAACGACATGCAGTTTTAGAGTCCGGACAGGTTCTTTCGAACGCAGTTTCGGGTCAAAGCAGAAGTAGCACAGACTTTCCCGAGAGTGTTGATGGCTGGCAGATATGTCAACGAGGCGAACCCACCACGCAGTGAAGCGAGTCCCGGATGATGTTTTGGTGCAGCAGGACACTGTGGAATCTGAACGTCCACTGAAAGTGTGTGCCGAGGACTGGTGTTTCTTAGGATGAAAACGCTGACGGATTTTTGCTTGGCGTGCGTGCGTGTGAGGCTGGCAGAAAATGTGTGCGGAATATACACCAGTATCCAGTCCTATCTGCTGAGTGTCTCGGTGGCACGGACAGTGAACATTGAAACGCATGTCGTTTGAAGTATGGCGTCGCGTTGAAGGTGGATTGCCCTGGTGGACTCCTTGAAGCAGTTGTCTAGACTGGTGGCAGACTCGGATGTGTCAGCAGGTTGCTCTTGATCTGAGTTGGCGCCGAATCAGGTGCAGCTGGAAGGCCGGATGCCTGTCAATCCGAAGGCTGCTTCATGATCACATTTTACATGTAAGCTTGCCTTTCCCATGCCGTTGATGGAGCAGGTTCTGGAGGCTCAGGGACGTGACATGGACTCAGAAGGAACTCTCTGGGACCAGGACACCGCCTCCTCTTTGGCTTTTTGTCCAATCCGATTGCGCCTTGCCGTGCCGATGTCGATCCCTGAGGAGACACATGAAAATGCGATCCGCATTTTGGTTGAGGAAGCCAAAGTCAACCTGTGCCTCAGGAGTGTCGGCATGCTTTCCCAGTCGACAGCAGATGGTTGCCAATGCTACGACTGCCATTTCGTTGTGTGCAGGATGATGTACGACTTCAAGAGATGGCAGCAAAATCCTGCGGAGAGGCAGGCGACGATCGAGGAGGCTATCAAGGCGCAGCCGGTCGCTGTTTACATGTTTACCGACTCTTGCTCAACAGGTTCGAAAAGAATGTCAATGAGGACAGAGCACGGCTGGTGTCAGGCTTATGACTCCACAGAGATGCAGCTGGATCAGAAATGCATCCAATTCGAGGACTTCTTGGGTTCTCCATGCACATGATGTGTCTTTTGGGCAAACCAGCTGTAAGTACTGCAAGGAGTGTTTGGGCACCCTTCTCCGGAAGGCGTTCATGCACGTGACCGTCCTATCGCGCAAGCTTTGGTCGTGCTGCTGTATGTGACGCCCTTGTAAGGTCGAAACTTTGCAGCTCATGGACATTCCTCTTCTCATTGAGCATTGTGTCACGGTCTCAGCTGCAACTGTTTCTCGGTTTGTCTTCCGAGCTTCTGAGGTCTTCATCCTACAGGCTTGCTTCAGTACACTCGGCGACAGCCTAGGGGAAGCTCGCCTCCAAGAGTCCGTGGTCCTGTGCCCCGGTTCTGGATTCTTTTGGTCATGTGCTGCCTGTGGTTCTGCGGCAGCAGTTCTGACACGAGTGGCAGGTATTACTTTAGCTCCTTAATGAAGCATGCGGAGGCGAGGTCGACAGCTTCCTTTCATCTACAGTGTTTGTTCACTCGAAAGTTGCAGGCCTTAAACAACTCGGAGCTCCTGGCGCGGAGCCGTGAGTTCCAGTTGGTGGAGCTCGCCGTGAGCCACTTCCTCCGCTTTGCAGAGCAGCGCCTCGGCATAGAAAATGATTTTCTTTTGCGTGTCCAGCCCACGCTGCTCTGGCAGGTTTCCCGAGGACTTGAAGTATAGCCTCGCAGAAGGGCTCGCTGTCGGCCTCTAAGTTTTTGGATGTTTCCCGGCTGTTGGTTCGCCAACATCATTGTTGGTTGTGTTGCAGCGCGATCTGGCTGAGTGCTTACGCTCGCGTTTGAGCGGCTTGCATGTCCTGATGCCTCTATTGCTTATCACCCACACGAAGTGTTCGAGAAGGCCATGGCCGACAATGAGGACTTTATGCTCCTGGCTCAAACCAGCAGTTTTTCTGGCTCTGAGCACAAGGAATTCCCTCACATCTCGATGCCAAGGACGGAATGGGAGTCTTTCTTCCCAAGTCCAGATGTGCCAACCTCAATGCGGCAAGAGACAGTTATCTTTATAGACAGAGAATGCAACGGAAGTGCTGTTGGTCCAGGCAAAAGCAACCTTCCTAATGCTACAAGAAAAGCTGACAGCTCCGATTTTGGAGGCACTTCGGTCCTTCTGTTCAACCGTTTGGTGCACTCTACCAGTGTCGATCCGCAATCTTGAGGAAAAGCCGGAGAAACGACGGGAAATCAGACCTTTGCTGGACTTCTTCAACGCCATCAAGCGCTCCATGCACCTTGCTTGCATGGAAGGGAACATCTTCTGCTCAAGCATCCAGCAGCGTGGAAGTTGGAGATTTTATTCTACTTCATGTTGTGGACAGTGCAGGTTGGTGCATTATGTTTTGAAGACCTAAGCCTCGTTGGCCTATCACCTGTCAGATGAGGTGAGGGTCAGCGGCTGGTCACTGCGAGGACGCGTGGGAGCTGTCGGAAACCCTCAGCAGCTCTCGTGACAGTGAGGTTCACAAGCCGCAACATGGGTCTGTGCAAGTCCGTGTGTGCCACACTTCTGTCCGACGACTCACAGGATCGTCAAAGCTGGCAAAGCTGCCGGCATTGTGCATAGACGATTCGCTGTTTGGCCGAGGAGAAGGTCTGCCGTGTTCGAGTCAGGCAGTCTGCCCAAGAACCGGCCTGGTACCTGCCAGGACGTCATCGAGCTGAGGTGTTGTCAAATAGGATAGTTTGCAGCAGTTCCAGTGCTAAAAGCACACTGCGAAAAGACCTAGTGCCAACAACGTCGACAAAGTGTATGAAGCTTGATGCCGTGGTTCCGCATACCTACCGCCTGCTCTCTGAAGTAGTAGATTTGACAACGTCAGTCGACAGGCGTGTTGTCCACGGCTCAAGCGTTTGCAACCATGAATTTGTTTGCAAGCATGTATTTGTCATCTACGGATGCTTGCATCGGATGCTTAGCAGAGTTTAGTCTAGGGTTACTCCGTTTAATGATGTCCGAGCGGTTTGAAGCCCATGACCCGCCATGAGCGTCCTCGGTTGCCTTTGCCGCTTCAGGAACCGCCGAGCCGCCTTCATGCTGAGTTTGTAGAGCTTGGAAACTGACATGTGCAGACGTAAAGACCCACGCCTCAGATTGGCAACAGCATTTCTTCTTGCCGGAATACTGTTCCAACCTCAGATTCACGGAGTCTTCTCTGTCCGCTGTGGTTCCTTGAGCTTCAATGGCATGTTCGGGTTCTTGGCGGACAGCAACGTTTCAACAATTCTGATCTAAGAAGCCTAAGAAGCACACGTCTTGCGCTCCTGGCAGACGGCATGTGGCTACACCCGACTGGGCCGAACCTGTCCTAGGCC